AGAGTTTTCATGCAATGTACATATATATGTATATATTCATAGATACTTATTTCATATCCCTTTTTTTATGTTGCTGGCTGGCACAGCTCTCGCACATGGGAGGGTACCCACAGGAAGCATCTGAGATGCTGATAGTAACGTGTGTGATCGGTTTAAAAGCATGGAGGGGCGGTTCCTGTAAGTGTGTGTGAAGATAGAGTGATCATTAGAACCTGTTTATTGAAGTTTACCAGCTCTATAACAATGGGTTTCTCTTTGCCATTGGATTTAATTCCTCTGTAATTATGTTCCTAATATAGAAATCATTTGGCATTTATTTGCCATAATAAAACTTCCCGGTACGTTTAAATTCAATGTGAAGATTTAAGTGTATTTAGAAGACTCAATTGAAGACCTGATATTAAATATTCCTGGTTTCCTTTTCCAAACAAGACAAACTCAGATAAATACTAGCAGTCAGATCCATGCGTGCAACTACTCTTGTGAGCAGTGGCAGCTGCATGTGCATACCCAGAGAGAGATGGTAACCCTTGTGATGTGGATGACTCTTTCAGCTTCTTCTGACTGCTCCGCTCTGGTCCAAGGCACAGGTCCTGTGGGTGATGCTGATGACTGATGCTACTTTGTACACCTGAGCAGAGGAAACACACAGTTGAGGAAAAACTGTGGATGTTAGGATCACCATCAGCCATCCTGGTTTGTTGTACAGCTTGCGCTGGTTTTCAAAATGTTTGCTTTAATTGTTGTGGTAGCAGGATGTTGCTAACATGGCTCTTTGCAGCTGAGCTGGTGCTCAGGAGCAGGCCAAGCAGCAGATGTAGGTCAGCACAGCTGGAGCTGGGAGAGCCCAGAAGACCACATTCTGGCTCAATGACACCATCATCCCCAGCCCTGCCATGTTCAAAGGAGACCAGGTGTGCAAATTTGCTATACTTAATTTATAGTTAAAAGAACAGCTCTGGGAAACACATCCCATGACTGCCCACTGGTGTGTGAGCAACTGCAGCTTTGGTAGCAATGTGTGGATGAGCTCCTAGAACTGATAAATGACAGATAAAATGGTTGGGCAAAACACCGACACCAGCACACAGCAGAGGTGACACTGCTCCTGACATCGTTATTTTCTCCCTAGTTATACCGAGCATCAGAAGCACGCCCTGGCAATAATTCTTTTCCCCGTCATTTCTCAGAACTCCTCCCAGCAGGCTTAAAATAACAGGGCCCAGATAATCATTAACCACTTTGACGTATTGCAATGGGCACAGATTGGGAATTCAGAAGGAGAGGACAGAGCTGGAACAGACCCACACTCCCGCTTCGTCTCCAGCAGTATCGTTCTCCTCAGGGTCAAGCCAGTTCAGCCTGGCCTTGCCGCTGCTGCTCCTAGAGACAAACTCCCATCGCAGCCAGAAATAGGGAAGAATATAATAATTGCTTCTTAATTAATTGCTTCTTACATAATTGCTTCTTACATTACTCTCCCCAGAAGTAAGGAAGAGTAATAATATATAGGGAAAAGTATTTCATCCGTATGTTGAGAGGGTTATGCCTGAAGCCAGAGCCACCTTTCCCTTTTTGTTAACTCTGATTTTCCACCTTTGACATGAACCCTAGTTTAGACTCGGATAATAACACAAAAAAGCCCTAAGCCCACTTGGTTGTTTCAGGGGAACAAGATGGTACTGAGCAAGCTGAGGATGAAGCTTGCAGCCAGGGAGCATTTCTCCACTAGCAGCTCATAAAGCAGAAATCCTGCTAGAGTTGTAACTAGGAACAACAAAGGAAAGGAAAATTGCGAAAATAAGTGTTGGAAAGTAGACCCTTCAAAGGGTCTTTGGAGAGCAGTCCCCACAGGGAGTTGGTGGGAACGCTGTTCTTTGAAGCACTGGAGAACATGTTGTGCAGAGCAGTCTTCTACAAACCTACAGAAATGGGTGTGGGGATTTAATTTTCATCCCTAATTGCTGTGATCTGCACCTCGTTTTGGGCTTGCTTTTGTGTGTGTGTAGCTTTTAGCAGAAGGTCTCTGCACAGTGAATCCTTCATGCGTGTCACAGCCAACGGACTGCTCCTGAGCTCGCTGTACAGCCAGTGATGAGACTCCTTCTCTTTTGCTGTACAAAGGATTTATTCCTTTAATATGGCCCTGGCGTTTATTTTTCTGCTGGTACAGGAGTGCGTGTGCGTGTGTGTGCACGTGGCAGTGTTTTACGAATGCCTGCTATGGACAGAACTGGGCTTCACAGTGTGCAAAAATAGCTGTGCGCCACACACAAGGATATAATATTTCACACGGCTGGAGAATATGTGGTAGCTTAGGTTTTTGCTAGATTTGCAAAAATCAAGAAACTGGGGGATTTATCTCCACAGTTGAGTCCTGAGCTCTTGCAGGAGCCATCAGGACTGTCCGGGTTGGAGCATCCCAGTTAAGGAAGGGGGACTGGGTCCCCGCGGCAGTGTAGGATGTTTATGGGCATCTCTTGGCTCTGAAGAGACAAGCTCAGTTTGTTTAAACTCGATTATTACAGAGCCCAAGAAGCCAACGTGAGTCCAGGCTGCAGCTACAGCTTTTTTCTTTTGCCTTCGCCTGGAGGTTGTTGCTCTTAGTTTCTACTCTGTTCTGCCCCGTTCCTGATCCCTCATCACCAGTGCCTCCAGCTGCTCATTAGACAAAACCTAGGATGCTCACTCGCCTTTTTGAGCCCTGTGGAAGACCTCAGTGTGCAGCGAGATGGAAAGGCAGGGACACTGTAGAGCTGGGAGGTTTCTGTGTTACCTGCTTGGTGCTGGGATCACACTTGTGAGCTGAGAGGTGAAACTGCTGAGAAAATAAGCACCAGAGACTGAGATGAGGAGGATAAACCAGAGACATGGAGCAGCAGTCCTTGCACCAGGCTGGCCCTTGGCATGGAAAAGGGGTGCTGCAAGCACAGGTTTAGCACGCAAGGGATCAGGGGAGTTGTGCTAAGAAGCCCTGATCCACCTCCATTCGCCTCCTTGCTGGCAGTACATGCTCATGCGTGTTCCTAATCACACTTACACTTTCCCACCCTAGTCCCAGGAAGGGTCACCAACATGCACAGCTGAACCTGAGCCCCTCAAACTGCACCTCACACTGGATGTTTGAATGTCAAATGTCAGTGCGCCTTCCCACACACACCTTCGCCCCGTCTAACCATTCCCTGCTTCACTTCTCCTGGCTTGTGCTGTCGCACCTTTCCAAGTGGAAAAGGTTCAGGGATCCTACAGCTCTCCTTGCTGCCTCTCTCCCTTTGCGTCCCCTCCAGTGTGTAATGAAAACCAGTGACAGGCAGGATTGAGCCTGGTTTTGTAACGTAAACAGTTATTTACAGTTTTGCTAAAATTTCATGGAAGATGACATTTTTAGGTCACCTAGCTGAAGCAAATGAAATGATTAACATGTTTGCATTAAGTTTCATTAAAAAAAGTATCACTCTTGCCCAGCGTGGTGCTCAGTTCCTCAGGTCCTGAGAGCTGATGTGGTACCCTGAAAGTTAAGACAGTTTCCCACCAGGGTTAGAAAAAGCATGATCTGGTTTCCTAACCCAAGGCAGCTGGGATGGACGTCTTTTGCTGGCTCCAGAAGCCTCAGACACCAGGCTCTGTTATCTTGGTGCTTCATCAGTGGTAATGATGGGGCTGATCTAGGGGTATAAGAGCAAACATCCTGTCCTCAGTACTGAAAGTATGATGCCAGCCTTCCCCATCCCGTAGGTATTCTGCTTTTAAAAGCTTTTAAATCTTGGAGCACAGCTAAATACACTGCTGAGGTCTATGCTGTGGCTTTTAAACACTAAGAGGTGGGGAGTAAAATGTAATGGCTCTGTTCTCTAAATAAGTGATGGCAAATGACTGTCAAATGAACTCCTGAGCTTGTGTGTGCAGAGAGGAATTTAGGCCCATGGTGAACAGGACAATAGCGGATGGATCAGAATAATATTGGGGTTTCCTGGATACCCCTGTTTAAAGTTATACCAGAAACAAGGGAGCGAGCTAGGAGGTTCAGTGTTTTGGCCACCACTCATAAATGTGTGTGTATCACAAGCCAGGACACAATTTGTTCTCTGTCTTGCGTACTTGTAGGGTGGAAATAGCCAGCCCTACAGGCTGTCAATCAGTATGACTCACTTTTGGGACAGACTGTGTAGGGGAAGTGGACGGGGGGTGAAATTTGAGGAATTTTTCTCTGCTGGACTATGGGTACACAGAGACCTGGACCCAAAGCACATACCTGCCACCCGTGGTCAGGTTCATCCCTTTTGGTCCTGGAGCACTGGGAAGGAAACACCTGTGTCTAGCACTGCGAACACCCACTGCCTGGCAAGTCCTGGGAAGGTACCACATGGTGCTGGGCTCCGTCCAGCTCCCGGAGAGGAGCAGCACCTCCATGGCTGGCACGAGCCAGCCCGCGCAGAAAATCCAAGGGCTGCCGTGTCGGTGGTCCCCTTCCTGCCCGGCTGGGCTGGAGGAAGCTGCCCCAGGCTGAGCAGGACACCAGCCTGCAGCAGAGGCTGTCTTGCAGCTATAACCACTGCCAGCCTCTCTTTCTAAAATAGGTAGCAGAGAGGCAGAAATCTGAGCAGTGAAGCAGTGGCATCTGGTTGCCAACAGAGCTGTGTCCACTTGTGGTCTAGTGTGGCTGCTCTGGTGTCTAGTAAGAGCTCATCTAGCTTTTCCTTCAGCGGTGATATTAGGCATCTTTAATCTACCCAGCTGTCTCTTTCCACCAAAAATTGTAGGACCCAAGTATTTGAGGCTGTTACATCTCTGTCAAACTCTGTTCACATCAGCCAAGAATTATTAGAGGGCAAATGGATGGAGGCAGCACAATTACCTAAGCCAAACCAGGTAAAAAGGAACAAAGAGCAAATAGGTGGAGGGTGGAGCACTTTGGCCAGCACCAGCTTCTGCTGTGCTGTGCCATGCTCAGTCCCTGTGGGAGAAGGGGAGCCTCGCTGATTGCTGTCTGTCTTTTTCAGGGGGAGCTGCTGAGCCCATGTCGATGTGACGGATCGGTGAAGTGCACGCACCAGCCATGTCTGATCAAATGGATTAGTGAGAGAGGCTGCTGGAGCTGTGAGCTGTGTTACTACAAGTATCACGTCATTGCCATAAGCACAAAGAACCCTCTGCAGGTAAAGGTACTAGAGACATTTCAAAGTCTATTTATTCTCATTTCTATTCTTGTTTCTGGGAGCAAGTGATTTTCACCCGCGTGGGTTTTCCTTCCCTGCGCACAGGGATCGGTACATCTGAGACACATAGAAAGGGTTGTTGGGGGCTGGTCCAAAGAGGCCCCGTGTTCTGCTTGGTGGTACCAGGGGCATCCCTTGGGAGTCTGTTCTTTCTGTCCTTTGACAATTCCTGCATTCGCTTGCCTCCTGTTGAAAATGCCAGTGAGACCATTATAGTGCTGTAACACCTCAAATGTGCTCATCCACTGGAGACCACAGGTATGCCACTGTCCCCAGGGGCAGATGGGGATGGAGCACTTACGGGATTTGCTACAACAGAGCACACAGTGTGTGACAGAGCAGTATCTTGAGACTCCATGTGTCTATAGTTGTGCCATAACCTTGGTCTCCTGCTGAGCCTCCTTTATGTTGGCATGTGTTGTGGTTTAGGCCACTCCAGCAACTAAACTCCTCACAGCCGCTCACTCACCCTCCTCCATCCCCTGGGGATGAGGAAGGGAATTAAAGGAGAAAAAGAAAAGAGACCTGTGTGTTGAGATAAGAACAATTTGCTACTACTGCTACCAATTATATATATACAGATATGTACAAGGATAAATATATATAAACGAGTGATGTCCGGTATAATTGCTCACCATCCCTTGACTGAGGCTTGTCTCGTTCTGAACTAACGATCCCAAAACAGATAAGTCCCCATACCGCAATCCCGGAGGAGATTCGGAGGCCTGAAAATAGAGCGAGACAGAGAGAGCACTCTGACAGTCTGAAAGTGAGAGTCCCAGAAGATCAAAGGCCCTTTTTTCCGGCTGACCCTCATTTTATACTGGGCATGACACTGGATGATATGGAATACTAATTGGCCAATTTGGCCCTCAATCCTAAGTCTAAGTACAAATCACAGGGAGAGTCGTGGACCCCCCCATCCCGGCCATGCTCCCCCCATCCCATTGTGCTCCTGCACACTGTCAAGAACACGGCAGCTGAAAAGTCCTTGAGGTGTCAGTGCCAACTATAAACACCAGTGCGCTGTCAGCGTTCTCTCAGAGCAAGTCTCAGACTAAAACCAAAACACGGAGCTCCTCTGGCTGTTAGAAAGAAGAGCTAACTGTGTCCCAGCTGAAACCAGGACAGCATTAGGGATGGAGGAGGCGAATGGAGGGCTCTTATAGCTTTCCCCTCTGATCTTGCCATCCTTTTACTTTACTGCTCCTCTATGATCAAATACATCCTGACATGGCACACAGGGTGTTGGCTCTGATGCTCTGGTCTTTCCAAGCTTGATTCTTGGTGGACATTTGTGGATGTGCACACAACAAGTAAAGCACATCTTGATGTAAATGGCTGTGAAAGGCATCAGAGGACCCACCTTCTTTTCTCTTCTGAGTTCAAAAGCACTGTGGTTTAATAAGCCCCACTACAGGCTGGTAATTGAAATCAAGATTCAGAATGGGAAGAACTCTGTGACTGTTAAAAATGGGATAAATTATCCTTAATAGCTATTGATTTATTGCAAGGGCTGCACCTGAAGATGGACTAATTGCTGCACACCTTTGCTGAGCACCATTAGTGCCTCGGACATAAGGAAGCACATTATATCCAGGCACTACTTCTTAATTAGCATCATCGGACTGGAGAGCCATTACAGCAACATGCTGTGGTCTAGAGATTGGGGCAATGTCTGTGAGGATGTCGGTCTGTCCAGCACCTGGTTGGAGGGCTTTGACTCTCTCCTGGTTGCTCTGCTCTCTAACAGGAGGCAAGGACTTTGCCAGTGATGTTGCCAAGTTGTATGGGGATGGGGGGAATGCAAAGTCCTGCTCTTTCCTCCAAACTGCAGTCTCTGTGTGTCTTTTTCCAGGCCTGAGGCCACTAACCGCAGTGAGGAAACAGGGACAGCCCTTTAGGACTCCAGACTTAAATGAAGTGGTGAAATTAGTGGGGCATCATGGGGAAATTTTGCTGTGAGAAAGGAAGAAGCCTGCCTGCTCTTCACAGGTCCCTGCAGCTTCTGATTCAATTTTCCATGTGCTTTGGGCTGAAGAGATCAGTAGTTTCATCCCAAGCCCCAGACTCAGGTTGTTTTAATTTCTTGGCTCTTGTAGCTCAGAGCAGATTGAAACACGGGAGGGGAGATGTGGATAAAGCAGCACTTGTTTATTTCTGGAAAGCTGGTCCATGAGTGCCCTAATGCTTTCCATGTCTCAGATCGGGGATGCGATGCTGAGCAGTATTGAAGGTTTGTGGGTGCAGATTTACAAGCATGTGTGTAGCCAGCACTGCCTTTAATGAATGACCTCCAAACGCCCTACACTTTCACAGGGCTTAGGGCAACAGGTCAGTGACTTCCCTTCTGCTCCTCACTCAGCTAAAATTTGTCAGAGCTGTTCAGAGCCAAGCTCCCCTCCCACACACACATTTCAAAAGCCTGTGCAAAGCGTTGCTCTTTTTGGGCTCATGGGTTAGAAAGTGGCCTGATCTGCTGGCCTTTGCCACGAACACAAAAACTGAGTGGCAGGAGTAACCAAGTTAGAGAGCTCCAGTCTGGGAGTAAGAGTCCCAGAGGACCATGCAGACCCTGGGCTCGGAGGCTTCATGTGGCTGGCTTAGATGTCACGGCACTTCTCGCAGAAGCAGTGGGAGGTTTAGAGGGTGAGAAGAAGCAACTGGAGTGAAAAGCCACTTGGTCTGGAATAAATGCGGCGTGTGTGGAGTTACAGCTGCGTGCCTGGGTGCCCTGTCTGGTGCCAGCACAAAGACACTTCTGCGAAACAGATGCTACACTAGCACTAGTGTGTGAAATCCCGTGGGAAGTGGCTGATGTACCAGGCCTGGACTTCCTATGAGGACTTAAGGACTCAGGCCCCCGTAACCCATCACCATGCATGCCACCAGGGTTTTCCTTGTTCCTCAGTGGCTCTCACCATCCTCTGACGTTGGGAAAGGGGGGGCGAAGAGGACACAGGGGCTCCAGTGCCCTGACACTGTGTGCCGTAACAACATGCCACAGCATGTGCTGGTTGGAAGAGCATCCTTTCTGCTTGGTCTTCACCCCACACATGCATAACAGGGGCCACCTGGACATATAAGCATGCCTCTGAGTAAAGCCTTTGTTCCTGGCCTTTGTTCTCAGGGTCTTCTGGCACTTCTGCCCAGCTTTATTCCTACTAGAGAGCTCTGAATTTCTCAAACACAGGTTTTGGAGGAATGCTGTAGGAAGTCATGGTTGTCTGTTTATTCCAGACCAAACGTAGTTCAGGCAAGGACCACTCAAAATTCACCTCCTTGTCACATGAAGCCTGTTTGGGTGATGCTCTGAGTCTGGCTAGATTTTAACCAGCAAGGTGCCCTACCTATCCCCTGTGTCCTCTCATGTGACAGACCCCTGGGAAGCCAAACCCAGGCAGCTGGCAGGCCCTGTGCCCCGTGAAGCATGTCCAATTGGTCCGAGCAGAGCAGCACACCAGACACCCACATGTTCCCCGGGATCTGCATGTTTCTCTGACCATTTTGACATCTGCTGCACATTTTTTGGAGTGCCTAGGAACACGATGTGGGCCAGATGTGTGTGGAGACTCATGGTGTGGGCAGAGAAGTTACAGCTGGGAAATGTGGTTCATGCATAATTACTACAGATTCCTTCCAGCCTCCAGGCTGTTACGATGTCTCATACCAGAGGGAGGCCTTTAGTCTGGTATTTTGGCAGAATTAATCTATATAAATTAACGGCCACCCCCGTCCCTGGATTGCAGACATTTAAGAGCAAACATCTTAAAGCAGCAACACTGCAAACCTGCTGAGACTGCAGGATTAAAGTTGTTGGACAACATGGCAAGTGTACTGCCAAGCAGAAGTCAGACAGCAAATGAGCAAAAACATCCCACCAGCTGTGAGCAACCAGAATATCCAGAGCTTTTGTCTGTCTGTCCATCCATTCATCCATCCATCTATCCTCCTGCTTTCGAGTCTGCCAGTCACTGAGACAGGAGTCATGGGAATGGAGGCTTTAAATGCTTCTCTCCATTGCAATATTTGTGCAAAGCTCATGACTTTAAAAATGCCCTGAAGACTCAGGGTTTTGATAACACTGTAGGCGCTCTGGTGGAGTAGGTACCTGCTGTGATGGGACTCTGCACTGGATCTTGTCTGTACAGCTTCCTGAGCCACATTCACTCTGATGCTCTGATTTTAGCAAACACAAGATCCATTTGAACCAGCCTTCTCAGACCTACAACTGTCTGCAGTCTCAGGGAATCCAACTCTGCTTTACAGTTGCTATCTCTGACTCTTTGTGTCTTGTTGATTGTTTCAGCTCCAAAGAGCCTCAGTTATCCAGTGCTGGTGTTGGAATCCGGTCCTAATTTTCTGTTTTGACTGTGGTGATGCTCTGTTGAGAGCTGATGAGTGTATGTCTGATTGGCCTCTTCATCAGTATTCCCACATCTGCAAGAAAAGTCGTTGAGATCCCAAGGTGTTTGAACTTCAGCCTGAGATCCTGAGCAAAAAAGCTTGAGACAAGTTCACTGGGGTCTCCTGCTTGTCTCAACTTACTGTTGTGTGTTGAGCACAAGCCTTGGCTGGTCCCTGCTGAGCTCCAGCTGCGGCCTGCAAGCAATGGGTGCAGTCACAGCAAGAGAGACTTCATGGCCTGTGCCTCATAACAGGGGCTTTCTAGGATACTGATACTGTAGCCTCAGTCTTACCAGATGCTCTGGCACATGGAAAGAGGGGATTGCATCACTGCATTTTTCCATTACACAGCCCTAATGAACCCTCCTTCCTCTCTGCCACAGCATCTGTAAATGTACAGCAGAGAAGCTACCACAGCAGTGGTATAACTTTGCGTGGTGAATTTATAAAAAGAAAAGCCATCCTTCAAAAGATAATTGAGGAATATGGTCAGGGCCTTGGGACAGCAGAGAGGAGAAAGGCAGACCTAAGCAGTGCTGGGAATGGTCCACACCATCCTTCTAGGAAAAACCTTTGCTTGCTTGTTATCCTGGGTCTGAAAATGAAATTGCTGACTAGCACAGCTCAGGATGTTAATGATATGTACAAAGGGGACATGTCAGATACAGCAATAAAAATAAACTGAACTGCTTGAGGCAGGCATGTCTCTGCTCTCAGAGGAATGTAGACTTTTCCAGCAAGCAAGTCTTCTTAGCACGCTGCTGCAGTAAGACACAGATATCTTCTGCAGGCAAATATCTGTCTTGGATCTGCTCATGCTGGTGCTTGGGAACCTTTGGAGACCGCTGGTGCCAAATAAAGGGAAATACGGATCAGGCCTTAAATACTATAGTAATGACATTATTAATCTGAGCTATGTTAGCAGTGGGAAGTTTTCACTCACAAGCCTCTGAGCAGAAGCACTGAAGCAAATAGGGAGACAGGTTTGTCGCAAGTACAACACATAGGTTATGAAACGGTGCAAGAGAACAAGTATAACAGGACTGGCAGGCACTGGTCCCAGCTTGGCCCCTGGCTAAGGTCATCACAGATGTCAGACCTGGGCTCCTAAGAAATCCTTTTTGAGGCATCTGGGTTGCAGAGCTTTGTGATTTGGGAAAAATGGGAAAACTTGGGGGAAATCAGTCCAAAAGAGAGTGGTAGTTTGCACGTGCACATCGGAGTGGTGTGCCAACGCAGTTGGCCAAGGGGAATGGTAGCAGAGGACAGCCAGCCAGCTCCTGAGTGATTGAAGACGTTTCTTCAGAGCAGTCTGTAGGGACAGAGCCCTTTTTCCAGCACGGGTGGCAAGCCATCGCAGAGAGCTGCTTGGGCATGCTCTGAAGCCGTCGTAAGCCTGGAGCTCACCTGGAGCTCACAAAGCTGCTCCTGTTATCCCACAGGAGCCTTTAGAGCTTTCTGGTACCACCAAGTCCTTAGTTCTGCCCTATTCAGCACTGGCAGAGCATCTGCAGAGCTTTCTACCTGCCAAAAGATCCCATTCCTGATTGACAACCTGAGCAAGCTGCCGGTTGTTGAAGGTGCACTTCAGTACAGCTCAGCGGCTGCCTGGGACTCAACAGTCGTTATCAGCTGAGGAAAGAAGGTCTCAGTTTTAGGTCTCTTCCTGCAAGGTGAGGTTGCTTGACACTGTGACTTTGCTAGAGGTAGAGATTTGGAGGGAGGGTTTTGTGTCTGCAGCCAGACATTCAGACAAAAGCTTGGGGGTTTCATATGTGCCAGTAAAGGGACTCTGCGGCTTTGCTGAGAACTTTCTTTGCAGCTCTAGCAGTGACCCAAGGACAATAGGGTCACCAACTAAATCCATGATCTGCTGGCCATAACAGTGGTAGAGAGGGGTTAGGAAAATGGGTGATTTTCTAAGGGCTGTCATGAAATCTGAAAGGCACGGTGTTGTGATTGAGGCAGGCTCCTGAGGCCACCGGTGCAGGGATGCATCAAGCCCAGCTCCTCCAGCTGAAATTCATCAACACGTTCCACCTCTGAACAGCTCTCGGACTCTTCTGTCTGTGCTCTCACTGGATAACATGCTTTATCCTCTGTGTCACTCCTTTTCTTCTCTCTCTGCAAACCTCATACCCTAAGATGTGTAGCAAAATGGAATTAAAAGATGAAAAATGACGACTTCAGTTATTGGTGGCTCGGCTAGATGTGGGATGCTAAATTGCAGTTCTCAGGGTTGCCGGAGAGGAAATACAACATTTATTACTTACTTTTCTTTTTTTTTCTGGAAAATATTGAATTCTTCTGCAAGCTGGTTATTTTCCCCAGTGTTCAGCTCTGACCCATTTACCTCCTTGCCGGAGGGTAATCACACCCCAGTGCCACCTCCTGAACAGAGTCAGGACTGCTGCTGCGTGTGTCACTGTCACTTAGTGCCAGATGCCAGGAGAGAGTCTCCTACCCCCTGGCATGGCTGATGGATTCCAGCCTCTTCATTATCGCCTCAGCGAACCTCCCGGCAGCCGCTGGCAGCTGCGCAGCGCCAGGCAGTGTCCCTGCCTGTGTGTCAGCCTCTCTGTTCCCAACCGAAGGGTGCAGGGTTTGATGTTTGCACTTTTTCTGTGCCCTGAACCACGTCCCCTTTGAGAGCGTATTTAGCACTACACCTAAGCCCCCGTCTCTGCAAAGCGGCGGTGCTAGTCGTACGTGGCTGCTAGTTGCAGAGAACAGCTCCTTCTTCTTTTCCTGTTTTTAATTGCTACCTTGGAAGGACCTGTTGCCACCACAGGCTTTGCAGTGTGCCGGACAGATGGTGAGGAGCCAGTCCATTACCTCCTTGAGAGAGAGAAATGGTGCAGAATGATCTGGCTGGCACAGACGCACACAGGTCGGCGTGAGGAACCTGCGGTAAAACCTTCACAAGCAGCACCAGGCTGTGCACCAGGCTCCGGGCGCTCCCATCCCCTCAGTGCTTGCCGAAGTTAGTGGAAGGGGAGATGAGGTCTGGAGAAAGCTGAAGGGGTGAAAGCGCAACCCCATGCACTTACCCAGCGCTCCTGCATCATGTGCCTTCATGGAGCTCTGAGCTGATGGCACCGGTTGCAGATTTGTCCTGCATCTGCTTATGGTGCTGTTGAGGATGAAGCTGAAGAGCTGACGGGAGAGCAGCGTAGCTGCTGATCCCACCTTCAGAAACCAGATTTGGGGGTGACGAGTGCTGTGAGGTCTGTTGCCCTCTCTCAGCTCTGAGGTGGCCTTTCCTCTGTCTCATGAAGGGAGAGGAGCAATGTCATGAATGCCTGTATCAGCACAAGTCACCTGTTGTCCTTCTTGCCCTTCAGTCAAGGTTCAAAGTCCTTCCTACCTCCCAAAAAACATCAGTAACTCCTGGCTGGCCTGGGCACTAAAGAGACACCCAGCAACTGAACCCCCTTCTTGCCCTACAAAAGGATGGGACAGGGCTCGGTGGGTGACCCTGCTGTCCCAGGATACGTTTGACAAACAGGCAGGGTGCTGAGGGCTCACCAGAGATGCTGCCTCACACAGACACTAGTTTGGGCTTAATCCAGGCTAAACATTTTCAATTCCTCTGAATCCTCTATACCTGCAGGAGGTTGAAGTCCGCCTTTATTTATCCTTCTGCCAGTCCCACTGAGATCTCAAGGGCATGTATCTCACAACTAAAGGTGGCCTATATACTCCGATGCCAGGAGAGACTGTCTTTCCCCAGCCCGTTTACACGTTTGATTTCTGATTTGCAGGAGGGGCTACGGACCATGTCGCCAAGTCTTGTTAAAGGAAACAATTTCTGCTCTTGGTTTTTACAGAGTCGTTCTCTCAGCAGTGTAAGTCTGAGTGGGGAGGTTTTATGCTGGATAACAGAGAGGGATCTGGGCTTAGGATATTTATACTGTAGCTTATACAAAGCTATTTGACATAGTGAATGGATTTGGGGGAGTTTTTCTATTTTTTTCTTCTTCTGAGGAAGAAGCATTGGCGTTTACCTTGGAACACAGCCTGAATGTGTCATCACCTAAAGGCAGGGTGTCCTGACCACAGCAACTTGTGTTGTTTGTAACGAGTTTTGTGGGATGTGCGTTGCCGCTGCGAGATCCTACCTAGTGCTGTGATCCTGTCAGATCTCACAAAGTGGCACAGAGCCAGCTCATGGGAGGCCTCCAAAGGAAAGCTTAGCTCTCTGAGACACTTCTTCTCATGGTAATAGGATGCCCTGGCCGAGGACCATGTCTGGCCTTTGTTTGAGGTATCAACTGAATGTCCTGGTTTGTGATGGCCACCACACACATACTGTCACAGGGATGTTACTTTCAGTGTCTTGCCCTGAGTCCATTGTGCCTCCCTCAGGTCTCTGTGCTTTCCTGGTGAGATGCAGGATTCCTCCCCGTTTCCTCTTCAGCAATGCTGACAGGAATGACAGGCATTGCACTGCTGGGGCGGTGCAATGTTGAACAACTACCATGCTCCACCCCAGATGCGGACCAGGTAAAAGCGTCTATGTGTAGGGTGCACATAGGAGTAATAGGTGCTCTTTGAGATCTCCAAAACCACCACAATGAGGTAAAACAGCAATGTTCCGCACATAACTAATCTCTTCTATTTCTCCTTCCTCTCTCCCCCTTGTCCCCTCTCCTCTCCCCATTGCCTTCCCTTGCAGTGGCAGGCCATCTCTCTGACAGTCATTGAGAAGGTTCAGATAGCAGCGGCCATCTTGGGTTCCCTCTTCCTCATCGCCAGTATCTCGTGGCTCATCTGGTCGACCTTCAGTCCTTCAGCCAAATGGCAGCGCCAGGACCTGCTCTTCCAGATCTGCTATGGAATGTATGGCTTCATGGACATTGTCTGTATAGGTGGGTGATCGCATCTCACGGCACGGCCAAGGTCACCTGCCTGCTTACCCACAGAGAAGAGCGGGAGGTGTCACGGAGAGCCAGCTGGTACAGCTCAGCCTGAATTGAGCCTCCCTGGCTTTTCCTCCTCTTTGCTTTTGCAACACCTATTTTAAAGTCCTCTCTGTTCGTCTGGGCAGCCCCGGAGTATCTCCTTGGCTGGGCTGGCAGAGGGACCTGCAGCAACCCCAGAGAGAAACAAATCTCTCTTCAGAGCAAGAAGAGGGTGGGGAGATCTGGGAGAGGCTGGGGAGTGTAAAGCTTTTGAGAAACTTCTTTCTTTCTGGAGTAGC